TGTAGTAATATTTACTATCAATGTAGACCTAATAATAATCTGTTATTATTAATAAATATTGTGTATAAACATAATAGGCGTGAATAAATTGCGAACGCCGGGACAGGAAGTATGGAGTGCCGTTACGGTGTTGTAATTTACCAGAGCTGGGTACTTTCATATGCAAATAATAGTCGCGCAGATGTCTATCATTTTATTGTGGCCAATCGTGAAATAGGGTCAGGGATCGCCCACGACTTGCGCAAAGTTTGTTTTGACGGTACTATACGTGATCACGACACTTTCCACTGCAGTTTTTGATATCATGTCACTAACAACTTGAAATCTTGACGTGAACAACCAACGCATTCAGGGGGTCATTTAGAATAAATTTGCATACATTAAGTTAATATAATTTATTTTGTGACGTCTGCATCATCTATGAATTATTCATATCAACTAGAAACCCGCAGACGGGGACAATCTCTCGGGACTAAAGTCCCTCGCGTGAAATGGTTTGCATTTCCCATCAAACACTGTCGGCGTTCGAATGTCTAGGAATCGCAATTTACATTAGGCCCGAGGACTGTCGACAGTCTACTATCAATGTAGTAATGTTTCAAACATCAAAACAGGAACATGGTGCTGAGTGGTTTGCTATGCATGCGTTAAAACCCTTGCGCGATTGAAACACGTACGGTCAGACCAATCTCAACAAGAGACATCAAACTAATATTGAGAAACATAATTTATTTCATCCATTTGTATTGTTGTATAAAAAATGGAATAGGTGTACATGTATACAAGTACTGACACAGTCTCACATGTCAACACATGGTATGTGTCTAGTGCATGGCACCAACTTTGAGAAAAAAGATTTGAACTAACCATTTCTAATCACATTTTGAACATACATGTAGCAACAGAGCTGGTGATGTTGTTGTATAAGCCCACCCATTAATTTTCCCAATTTGACATGTTCAGGCCCCTGGGCTTATCATCGGGAAATACAGCAAACTGAACAATAGTGACAAAATATTGAGATATTTAACAGTGAATTTGTTCCCCCAATAAAGTACCAGGATGTGACCTAAGATAATGAAAACTTGATCACAAATGAATAGAAATGATTAAAAATTATTGGCAAGTAACCTTTGACTTGGATATCTATCATCTGATTCGCACAATTTCATGAAGCAGACCTTCCATAACTATGCATAGCAATATATACAAATACGTTATTTATTTACGCAAAATGTTCGAACACTCATGGCCACGATCTTTACATGCCACAGTAATCAGAACTGTGCACGAAGCATTTTAGTGTTCTAATGTAATTCTTTTTTACGGTACACCACATTCGCATCTACTACGTGATAAATGCATTTCTGAATACTTACCTACAGACAGTATGGTCACATAGGGGGGCCTGTCTGATACTAGCAAGAAATGTTCCCTAGCTTTGTTCATAGTAGTCTCTTTACCAAACACACCTTTGACAGGCCCCACAACTGATTCGTATCCATTGAAACAGAAAGTGAATGCCTTGTGCGGTTGTTCATACCGCCTGGTTTCCTAGGAAACAAAGCAGAGATATTAAACGAGTTAGGCTTGCTTGTATCACAGCTGTCTTGAATACTGTAAAATACTTTATTTTAGCTGGAATTAATTTTCGTTGAAAAGACTTTTTGGGTGTTTTCTATGGAATTTATTTTCACTGATTGTTGACTGAGTTGAATGTAAAATATAGGAAAAAAGGTAATATTCGCTGGATATTCGCAAAAGTAGCGAAAATTAATTCCAAGCGAAAATAATATTTTACAGTACCCCCCGGTAGATGAGTTTTTTTAGTTACAACACCATCAGTTGTTTTCCTTGCGAAAATTGGGGAGTTGATTCCTTGCCTCGCGATATGTTCACTGGTTTCCCGGGTATCCGGAATTCCTGACAATATCAACCCTCTAAGCAGACGAGATTGGAGCATTTTTACACTAAAGCACCAGTTTTAACATAAAAGCGGAACCCGAAACATGTCTATAGTGTAACCAACAACTGCTATATGGTTGATAACAATAAATAAACTTGTTTTATAAACACAATTTGATGCATTTTACATAGATCCTGGTACAAATAATTTTCGCAACATACACACTGTCCATGCTGGTAGAAATTTACATTTCTATCCCTGGATGTATAGAAAACTGTTAAACCATGAGAAACAATCTGGTGTCAAAATAGTACAACACAAACCTGTTCTCGGATTATTTTTTTCTGTTCATCCAAAGACGGTTTAACAACACAAACCTGTTCTCGGATTATTTTTTTCTGTTCATCCAAAGACGGTTTAACAACATAATCTGTTCTCATTCTCGGACTTGGTATATCAGTTATCTCTTTCTTTTCAGGAGTGGAGTTTTCTCTTTTTTCTTTTTCTTTTTCTCTCTCAACAGTGGTATAAACTGTTTCCATAGCAAAATCAATTCTCCGTCACTGTCATTTCCCATACCTGTAAAGACAATTGAGTAAAGTGGGCGAGAATATTTTTCCAAGGTTTTTAATAAATTTTTTATCAAAAGGTTGAAACAATATACATGTAGTAGGTGACACAATTCTATTTTTTCACACAGACCATTTAGATCAAAGAAAGCTTAGAGAGAAGTCCTGTGTTCTGAGAGTATTGGAAGTATATGTCATGTAATGGGGAATATTTAAAATATTAAAAATGTTATATTAGTCTTTAATACAAGAAGCCTGTCTGTTAATACAGCTTGGTGATTTGTCCTAATTCAAATTTTCCCATTCAATTGTTTGTAGATGCTTCCAACAGGCTCGAGAGATATTGAAATGTTTTTGTGAAGACAAACATCATTTAACATAACATCCACCACCAACTAAAAATTAATAACAAATATTCTTTACCTATCCACTTCCATTTTTTATCATTTCCAAATTCTAATTTGGGTGAGAAATTGGTACTGGGTGATGTTTTTCCAGCAGCTAACCACTTCAATGCGGTCGGAACCAGTTCAGACCACTTTTGATGCAGATTAAACCAGTTGTTGAGCAGGCTTGTAGACGACTTCTGCCAATCAGTGACCTTCTCTTGCAGTTCTTGCAATGTTATTTTGAAATCAGGAGCAGCTGTTATCGTGTCGCGCAGCAGGGAGAGAAAATTACTGTACATACCGCATGGATGACGTATTGGCAGCGGACTGTAAACAAAAACATGTAAATAAATAATTTAAATACCAGTGAGTTTTTGCAAAGACATGCCACAAGCAACTGTGGTAAATATCAAAAGAAATGAAATGAATGCTGTTTTGTACAACATTGTCTATTACATAAGCATCTTGGTGCGTGCTGAATGCCCACAACTGCCATATCAAACGTTTTCTAGTAGTTTATGTGACCCACTTTTAAATATAAGATGTATCATTAAATGTTTACGATAAATTAGTGTGGATACTGTTTCTTATGACTTATTTTTGTTTGAAAATTGATGAATAAAGATTTTGTATTATCGTTTACTTACATTGATTCACACAGAAAATGTCCTGTTTGTAACTCTTTTTGGAAAATACAATGTATCAAATTTGTTCAGATTGACCTTTGCCCTAATTTTGTATTGCGTAGACATGTTTTTTTTTTTAAATTTGTTCATTGTAAAACATAATTATAATTTTTTTGGATTTTATACATATGTGATACAACTAGTCATGCAATATTCAAATGTAATCTTGCATGTTGAATGATTAAAATCACATTTGAATTCCAAGAGCTATTACATCATAAAACCTTTCACAAATAAAGCTTGTTAGCCAAATAATTTTCTCTATTTCTATTTTCAACAATTCTGAAGAAAATTGTGAAATTATATCAAGTTCGTTAAGAATTAATGAACTAATTCTTGTTCACACTACAAAATCATGTGACTGTCCCTGAATTTGACTCTTCAGAACCCATGTTCACACTACAAAATCATGGGACTGTTCCTGAATTTGACTCTTCAGAACCCATGTTTACACTACAAAATCATGTGACTGTCCCTGAATTTGATTCTTCAGAACCCATGTTCACACTACAAAATCATGGGACTGTCCCTGAATTTGACTCTTCAGAACCCAAGTTCACACTACAAAATCATGGGACTGTCCCTGAATTTGACTCTTCAGAACCCATGTTCACACTACAAAATCATGTGACTGTCCCTGAATTTGACTCTTCAGAACCCAAGTTCACACTACAAATTCATGGGACTGTCCCTGAAGTTGACTCTTCAGAACCCATGTTCACACTACAAAATTATGTGACTGTCCCTGCAATGTCGACAGAATACTTACCCTGTGGGGGTTGATGTAATGATGGCATTGTCTGTAACCATGGAAACAGAGGTAGGTGGTATACTTTCACTTGTTTCCATTGGTGTAGTGTCTGGCATAAAATCTGTACTTGAATGTGATGTCCCACTGTTTGATTTCAACCGTTTCCATTTTTTCTTCTCCAATTTGTCTTTTTCTCTGTGTTTCTTTTTAGCTGGTGGTAAAAGCCCTGCAAGAAAAAATAATATTAAACAGATTCATTATTGATATCAGAAACAACTGGTCATTACCATTAAATAATATACATGAAAGGATAACCTGCTGCAAGCCTTTATGACCAGCTGAAAAGAACAAAGTACAAGCAGCCTCTCGGCTGAGATAGCTCCGCTGTTAGCAATGCACATTTCAATTAAAGAACAGAAGATACCATTAGAAAATGAACAATATGCATAGTATCAATGTAATGGGACTTGCTGTTTTCAACAAGAATGATTGTGGTTTTTAACAAGAATATCACTTTTTACCAAAAATGACAAAAATATTCACCAAAATTAGATAATTATTTAAATTAAAGATATCATTACAAAATGAACAAATCTGAGAGAGGTCCACATGTAGTACCTACATGTATATATGTAATAATATCAAAGCAATTGGACTTGTCATTTTTAACAAGAAGTCGAAAATATCACTTTTTACCAAAAATGACAAAAATATTCATCAAAATTAGATAATTAAAGATATTACAAAATGAACAAATCTGAGAGAGGTCCACATATACCGGTAGTACCTATATATGTAATATCAAAGCAATTGGACTTGCGTTTTTTAACAAGAAGTCGAAAATATCACTTTTTACCAAAAATGACAAAAATATTCACCAAAATTAGAGAATTGACGATATCATTACAAAATGAACAAATTTGAGAGTGGTCCACATGTAGTACCTATATATGTAATATCAAAGCAATTGGACTTGTGGTTTTTAACAAGAAGTCGAAAATATCACTTTTTACCAAAAATGACAAAAATATTCACCAAAATTAGAGAATTAAAGATATCATTACAAAATGAACAAATCTGAGAGAGGTCCACATGTAGTACCTATATATGTAATATCAAAGCAATTGGACTTGCGTTTTTTAACAAGAAGTCGAAAATATCACTTTTTAC